TAAGGTCGGGTCAAGGTGGGGATGGGTAGAGCATGGGACAAGAAAAAAAGCACACTTGACCTATGGGAAGCCCCGCCCACAGTGGGCGGGGCACTCGCCGAAAGTTTGGGGTTCCGCAGAAAAATTCATAATTCGCTTCCGGAGCAGCTTAAAGATGGGGAAAAAAAGGGAATAAGGTTAGTAAGGAGTCGCCAGACCAACTGTGGCAGATACATCCAAAATGGGCGGGACCGTGCTAAGGGTGGCGGTGCTCTCGCCAAAATTCAGATCACCCAGTTCGCCGAGAGTGTTTGGAAGTCGCAAAAAAACTCAGTGTAGAATGTAAATATCTGGCGAATATAGGGCACGCTCAAAGTGTGTTGAGACCCGCCCACAGTGGGCGGACTTGCCCCAAATGCAGACATTATTTTAAAATGTAGCTCGGTTCCAGAACACTCCAGACACCGGAAAAAAAGGGAGGCCAAGGTCAGCAGAGGGTCGGCGGCTGAGGATTGTAGGGCAAAAAATTGTGCAGTCCGAAAACCGGAATAAGTGAATTTAGGGTCAGCAAAGGGGTCGCCCGTATGCAGAAATGTGGGGCTATACAGCATTGTGGGTGTGCCACGGCCGAGCGTGGGGGAGGCCGAGACCACAAATTCCTAGAACTGCTGCAGAGCACTTCAAAGATCGGAAAACGTGGCTAAGGTCAGCAGAGGGTCGCCGGTGAGGGTTGTGGGGCACAAAAATTGGAGGCGGGGCCTGCTTTGAAGTGGGCGGAGTCAGACGAAAAATCTGTGAAATAGTTTCAGAGCACTCCATGACACCTGGAAAAAAGCGGTTGAGGACACGAAACCCTCACATGCTGTTGACGAGCTATGTCAATGGAAAAAAGTCTTCTTTACTCTGATGAACGACTTCGCCCTGCCAAGCCCAATTAGGGTCGTCCAAGACCACCATTGAGCTTCACCACTACCAAGCGATCCAGTATATCCATTCTAGGGAGCATTGAAAAAGGGGTGAAATACTGTAGTGGGCATTTGAAAATCTTCCAACCTGCTCTCGTCGAAATCCGGTAGGTCGTTGTAGTTTCTTTGCACTTCATCGGAAATGAACTTCCAACTGTTCCAATCAATGTGTGGTGTTTCTTCCAATAATTGTTTGTACAGGCGACGGAACACTTCCGCATCAACATGTGTCACCTGAAACGCTAATAATGGCATCATCTACCTCTCAAGAAGCACTTTGTTCAAATTCCAGTCAAAATTCCATCGATCTGCCTTCCCGGAGTTGGGTCCAGCTAAAAAATAGCAGCGTTAGGTAGTTCGAGCTCTCGAAAACGAGCATTGTATATTCTCTCAGGAGTCAAGCTCATATTTCAGGGTAGAGAACTTAGACTGAACCTAAGGAGGAGCAGAGATGTTGCTTCGACTGCGTTTCTTCTGTAACAGGCCAAAATTTGGGGCTCCTTCAAGTGGCTGTACATAGATTTGATGCTATCGTTTAATGCCCCACCGGCCAGAAACGCCTTAGATTGAAATTGATTTGTTTAGAAGTTGCAATGACCAACTAGTTACGAAGAGACAAACCTGAGTATTGATATGCAGACAACGCGCAAATTTCACCCGTTTATTGATACTTTTACTAGTTTCATAAGTATTCCGAGCTGCATGTTCCTACGGGCTTCCAGAACAGTCTCACAGCGCTCCCGAAAGATTTGAAAGCAGTGGATATATCATTGAGCGGAGGTGGTGTAGTGACAAGTGCACCTTATCACGAGCTCAACGGTCACATTCTGAAGGCCACATCACGAATAAGCCAACCAAGCTTTTCACTCTCCGAGAACAATAAATTCGCACCAGATTTGTCTGGGAGGATAAAACACTGACTTGTACATCGGCTGGGCCCCGCAAGTCATTGTATAGGCCACATCGCATTCAGTAAGCCACTACGATTCTGAATAGAAGTAGAATGCTTGCCGCATCCCAAAAAGGGGTAAATCATTAACGGAGATTCATCTCCTATCCTTTCAACTATTTTGTGAAACTACACCTCAACCAAAAGGAAGCGATGTTAGTGTAATTCATGGTAATTCGTACGACAGTGCGGCTCTTCCGCGCCTCGAGGCGATTGCCACGCGGACTCTGACCTCTCATATCTCCTGAGTCTAAGCAGGCAAGTCGACTGGAAGCGCATCGCCGAAGCTCAGCGTGGCGCTCACCACCTATAACAATTCCTAGACGCCTTCTTTGTACGAGTAGCCGATCCCTAGGCCATTAAACTGTCCCATTTTTCGCGGCATCACAGTAAGTAACGAAGGCGCTGCTGCTCTCATATGACAGTTTTGATGCCTCTCTACTTGCCCCGCCCACCAAAACTCAGAGGTGGAGCGGTTCGGCGACGGGGGGGGGGGCATTTTGCACTTTTGCTACTACCCATCGACGTGTCGAGCCTATCCAGACAGCCTCTTCTCGAGTTGACAGGTTTGACATGATGGTTTGACGACCTTGCTCAGGCTTCACAAGAGCACAGGTTTTCGCCAGGGTAAGACTTGTAAACTGGAAGTAAGGAAGCACTGATAACATAAAATAGCACAAGTTGCCCATTCCCCGTCGTCGATTTGCTCCCTCAGAGGTTTATCATTGTCTAATATGGTATTAGCATAGGATGACGCGAAGAAACGATTAGTCAGCCACAGGCGAAACGATAAGGCTCTCAGCGGGTCCTTACGGTGGTCTGCATGATTTTTTTTCTGCTTTTTTTCTTCAACGTCACTACCCATAATGTGCAATCGCGGGGTGTGCTCTCAAGTCTACGACAACAGACACGGGTAGGAACAGCGTTTCTGCCCAAATCATGAGAAAGGAACACCGTAATGGATGAATTTGTCTCTTTGTACAGGAAGAATTTCTCAACAAGTGTATCGAATGCTTCTCGTGCAGCAACTTTAAGCAAAATATGAATGACATCTAAAAACGTGAGTTTGTAAAGGAATAGATAT